TTTAGCGAGCTCAATATTAAAAAATAAAATAAAAAAAGATAATTTTGAAGAAAATCATAAAAAACCATGTAGAGAAACACTGTAGCAATCAATAATATTTTTTAAAAAATTACAAAACTAAATTCTCCATCAGTTCTATATAAAAAAATTGATAAATATAATTTTAAAAATTAAAAAAATAAATATAAAAACTATGTGAAAAAATACCGCAGTAATCTACAGTATTTTAAAGAAAAAAATTACAAAACGAAATTTTTAACCATGTCAATATTTAAAAAGTAAAATTAACAAAAAAAATTTTAGAAAAAAATACAAAAAAAAGAAGAAAAAATAAAAAAGTTGAAAAAAAAAAGTAAATTTTTTTTTTAAAAAAGGAAGGAATACATTGTGTGGGGGAATAGTGATTTCCCCCCACCATTTAGAGTATTGTCAGTATGAAGTGAAAAGAACAAATTTCTAATCAATTCATATTAGTTTGGCTATAATCAGGTTAGAAGACTAAAATCCTACCGAATTACAAGAGCTGGTCTTGCAAGAATATTGCTAACTTTTTTATCTTTTATTTTTAAAAATGAACGATACTTATTAATCAAAACCAAGGTACATAAAAGAAATCTGCAATAGCAGAAACCAAGAGAACAAACAAACTAGGGAGCACATGAGACTTACCATGTTCATACAGATAGTAAAATAGCAGTTAGGAACTTAGAATTCATCTACATGATATAAAAGAAATCTAGATGACTAAAATCCTACCGAATGCATCAGTTGTTGAGAGCTACATTGCATTGTTGGCAAGTGGAAGTGTTTCTTGCACTTTAGTGATACAGATAATATTTGTAGCTATGGAGCTGCGGTGATGGATCTTTCAATTCGCTGGATTTCTTTTGCTACTTCTATCATTAGTGGCCTATCTTCTCCTGAATCATCTGTGCATCTCAAGGCTAGTTCAATGGATGCTTCCAATTGTTGCTGATCAATTGCTTCTCCCCCGTTTCCCCTAATCATAGGATCCACAGCTTCATTTACCCGATCCTGTTCAACCAAGACTTTCACATGCTGTGTCAGATGGATTTCCCCTTGACGTGTTGCTCGTCCAGTAAGAAGGACGAGCAGCAGCACCCCAAAGCTGAAGACATCAGTCTTCTCTGTCACAAAATTTGTCATCGTATAATCAGGGTCCAAGAAACCATGTGTCCCTACGAGAAGATCATCTCCAACCTTCGATTCACCTTCAGGAATTGATATGGAAAAAGAGAAATCGGACAACTTGGCAGCATAATTCTGGTCGAGGAAGATATTTGCAGGTTTTATGTCTCTGTGGATGATGGGCCTTGGAAATGCAGTGTGGAGATACGCCACGGCATTTGCAATTTCCTTGGCAATTTTCAATCTGGTTCCCCAAGGTAATGATCCATCATGAATATGTCTATCCAGACTTCCATTCTCTGGATATTCATAAACTAGAGCTGGGCCTTCTGGGATCTCCAAACAACAACCTAATAGCTTGAGAACGTTGTTGTGACTGCTCATCTGCGACGAGACCACAATGTCACGGTAGACCTCTTGACCACCTCTTGCATACCTCTTGATGAAACAAGACGCCCATCTAGAACTCCCCTTTTCCATTCAAAATCTATATAGCTTTGTAAGGGGTGAATTTTTTGGAAGTCTTGTATGGCTCTGCAGATTTGATCAACAGAGAAGTTCCTGATAGGATTTGATCTACATCTACCATCACAAAATCTGATCCTTTCCTCCAATAACTCACTTCCACGATCCAATAATATCTTTCTCTGCCTTCTCTTCGCCATTAATCCAGCAACCTAGCTAAAACCAAGTTAACTATTCAAGGAAACCTAATATTATCGAGGAGATAATCAAAAGTCGAAATATCAACAATTTATTAGTAATTCAGTTGCAATTTCTTCCTTTTTAGGTACCAGGAAGGAAGGTACCGGGAACAACCGAGTGGGCAGTGGTGGTGAAGAGCGAACACCCTTGCGTTGAAATTTCAACTCATCCGTCTGTTTCGAAGTCAAAAGACAAACGTGTTGACTTTTTTGTATGCTCATATTACTTACTATCCTGATCACATGTTCCAAAGTTTTTTAAGAATAATTTTCAAGTGAGACTCAAGACTGAATTGCAGTGTGATGTCTTCGTTTTCATCACGTTGATGTACGTTAATGATATGTTGAACCAGAAAGCAGTGAATTCGTTGAGGGCATCGCTGTCGTGTTTGTTTATGGTCCTCCTAGAGTTGCCATGGGAGCCCAGCGAGCGAGGTCGAGGCCGTAAGAGACAATCTGTTTATGGCTTATTTGGGCCTGTACCCAGTATTCCATGCAGTTGAGGGGGCTAAAGCTAAGCTTTTAAATTTGTGAATGGGCCTATATCAGGCTTGGACCATCTATGTCAGAAAAAAGGACGAGGAGGAGGAGATAGTGCTGTGGTGCAGCGTTTGTTTGTGCCGCCCAGTTTTTGAAATTCAAAATAAGTTTCCGTTGGGAAACGAATCCTGAGAGGCAGTTAGAAAGAGTTTATTAAAGGAAACAAATCTCTCGTGTATTTTGGTTTCTTTGCTGTTACACTTTTTTTCTCAACACACAAACAGAGATAGAAAGCGAGAGTTTGAAAATGGAAAAGGCAGGAGGAGGAGCGGCTGCAGCAACGAACACTGTGGTGTCGGCGATGGATGCATTTGAGAAGCTAGAGAAAGTAGGAGAGGGAACGTACGGTAAAGTGTACAGAGCAAGGGAGAGAGCCACTGGAAAGATCGTTGCACTAAAAAAGACACGTCTCCATGAAGACGATGAAGGAGTCCCACCCACCACTCTTCGTGAAGTCTCCATCTTGCGTATGCTCTCCAGAGACCCTCACGTCGTCCGGTACTCTCTCTCTCTCTCTCTCTGCTTTTCTTAGATCTACTTCCTCGCTAGGGTTTCATCTCTGTTTACTAACGATCTATGTTGCTGGGGTCTGTAGAGTTTTTTAATCATTCGGTAAATTTAGGGTTTAGATAAACTGAATTTGGGGATTTTTGTGACGTGTCGTTCAATTCCTCCAATTTGTCGTTTCAATTTAGGGTTTTTGCGTGCATTTCCTAATTGTGGATTTCTAAAAGAGAATTATCAATTGATTTGATGTGGATTGCTCTAAATTAGACAAATAATTTTGATCCGATCCGATCTGATCTTCTCTTCTATTATTAGGTTATTAATAATCTAATTATGTGTTAATGTTGTCATTATTTCAAGTTTGTTGGACGTGAAACAAGGGCAGAATAAACAAGGCAAGACAGTTCTGTATCTGGTTTTTGAGTACATGGACACCGATCTCAAGAAATTTATCCGAAGCTTCCGCCAAACTGGAGAGAACATTCCTGTCAAAAATGTTCAGGTACATAAATTCAACGTTACCTTTTTTTTGAATCATATTAGTTTGAGAGGTTTTTCTTCTTTTCTTTTTAATCTGATCACAAATTTGGATGATCCTTACTATTATGCAGAGCTTGATGTATCAATTGTGCAAGGGTGTGGCTTTCTGCCATGGCCATGGAGTCTTACACAGGTTTCCTTTTATTCTTTTTCTTTGCTTAACAATTCTGATTTACAATATCCATTTTAATCATCATATATGTTAACCCTTTATCTCTCATCCTCTCAGGGATCTTAAGCCTCATAACCTGTTGATGGACCGCAAGACAATGATGCTTAAAATAGCTGATCTTGGACTCGCTCGAGCATTTACACTTCCTATTAAGAAGTATACCCATGAGGTAATTAAATTAAATTAATGCATGCTTGCTACCACCATTCTTCTGTCATGCTCTTACAATATCAATTTGTTGAGCTAATTGAGTGGTATTTCTGTTTCAGATATTGACTTTGTGGTATAGAGCTCCTGAAGTCCTTCTGGGGGCTACCCATTACTCAACTGCAGTGGATGTATGGTCTGTTGGCTGTATATTTGGTATGGATTTCCTTATTCTTTTCTCTTGTCCTTAATTTTATCCACCAATCTGCCAACTCTAGAATTGCTCAATTGTTGTGATTGTGTTTTGCCTCAACTCTAGCTGAACTGGCCACAAAGCAACCACTCTTCCCTGGAGACTCTGAACTGCAACAGCTCCTGCATATTTTCAGGTTTGGCAAGACGATTCCTGCATAATGATGGAGGCTTTGGTCTTTCTTTATCAATTGGATTTCTCTTTTACGTTTTGAAACTCATGTGCAGGTTATTAGGTACTCCAAATGAAGAAATGTGGCCAGGAGTCAGCAACCTGATGAACTGGCATGAGTATCCCCAATGGAAATCTCAGAGTTTGTCGTCAGCTGTAACTAATTTGGAGAAGGATGGGCTGGATCTACTATCAGTAAGTCATCATGATCATCAACAATGAATGGTTTCTGATAGTTTGCACAGATCAACGCTGTAACTTACTTTGTGCAAATGCTTGTATTTGCAGCAAATGTTGCAGTATGACCCTTCAAAGCGTATCTCAGCAAAGAAAGCCATGGAACATCCTTACTTTGATGAATTGGAGAAGGAATGTCTCTAAGAAACACAATGGTGTGATTAGGATGGGCAGCCTTGTTTTGATGATCATAGGAACAGCTAAAAGAAGTTCTTTCTCAAAATCTATTTGCTTCACTCAAGCATACTACTGAAAGGAATGTCTCTAAGAAACACTATGGTATGATTAGGATGGCAGCCTTGTTTTGATGATCATAGGACCAGCTAAAAGTAGTTCTGTCTCTAAAGCATACTACTGATCAAATCATGTTGAATCTTCATCAGTTTAATGCCATCATTGCTTGCCATCTCTATCAAACTCATAGTAAGTTTTGCTATTTACTTCTACAAAATATTTTTGCGCATTGCACCCGCAAACTTCCAAAAAATATTTTTTACAGAGTGTTGAAAAATGGCACAGATCTTCAAAAACAATGTTCTCTTGATCAACTTACAAGTAAACCTATGCATTTATGTATCAGCATGTTAGGGCAATCAAGCCACCAGCCACATAAAGAAGGTTGACCAAAGAGTGAGTGAAATTGAAGCCAAGGCATAAGCCCAGAGTATGATAACAGAACATTCAGTCTCTCCCGCTCCAAACAGTTGGGTGATGGTACCTGCCAAATTTGCAGCAACGAAGAAAAGATTCTAGTTTTCAGTAACTGGCCCGGCTCAGTGGTCTGCTAGAGTATGCTTGAATGAAGCATGCATCTCATGCTCATGCTACAAGAAACGCATGCATATATTACCGTGTGAAAGAATTGTGAGGGATGGTGCAGCAGCAAGATATGCATATATTACCCATGTTCATTGCAGGTGGAACTGCAAATTGAAGCAGAAGAATAAACTGATACAGAGGATCTTGAGGAATAAAACCAAACCGGAGTGCTCCTCTAACGATGAAAATGCCAATTAGGGGCAGTGCAATATAACGGGCAACAATGATGCCAAAAATTACAGATTTCTGAATTCCTGACCCTCGTAAGCCTGAAAGAAACAGAAATCAATTTGAATTAACAGGTTCTAGAAATCAACCAAAACAGCCACTTCTACAAAAATCTGCTACCTTTCAAAAGGTTAGCCCCCATTATCAGGTTGAGGGTTGGGATGGCTCCATCTCTACAGTCAAGGTGGGGAAACTAAGAAGCTCAGTGAAAAGGAGGATAGATAATGGATGAGCAACTAGTTGCAAGTTAAAATGCAGGTTGCTAAATCAAGTTAAGCTCAGCTAGAGTTGAGTGCAATGTGTAAAATACCCCAACAAGGAAGCAGAGTCTTGAATCACGCGAAGAGGAGCATCATTGCCAACCATTAATTTCCGGGTCAGTGGGATGACTCCAATTACAAATCCAACAATCTGCCCAGTGAATGAGCATGGTGAGAATTAGGTCAACGTATAACCAAGTGTTGCCTAGTGAAATCAGAGAACACATTGAAGTACCGCCTGTAATTTCGTGTAGCTACAAGTTCATGGATCAATAGAAAACGTACGATGACTAAGTTGTAATCCCATTATTGATCAGGTTGTCTCTAAGGAAAGTAAAACCAAACCCATCCAAATGATAGGAAAAAAAAACCAAGATAATAAAAGTAGTTTTCATGGCCAGAATCAAGTCGAAGAACTCTACAAATCGCCATACAGATTCAACCATAAGTGTATTCACAGATAAATGTGCACGAAAATGTAAAGCAATAAGCTCATACCGCTCCAATTGTAGAAGGAGCAAACAGCGACTTCCAATTGATATTTCCAAAGACCACCACGATCTTTTGCTTCAATCCGCTGCGAACCACCATCTGCCACAGGATTCCAGGGATCAATCTATAATTTCCTTGAAAGATAGTGGTTGTAAGTATAAGGTGAAAAGGTTGAAGGAAATGATACAGTACAGGAAACAACCTCATCAGAGGCTGAGCTGCGCAGTGCATATCGATCCGCCTGGTTCTCAGAAGCTAGTAGTGGTTCCTTGCAGCTCCCCAGCTCAGATTTGGGTGTTTGTATTGAAGATTCATCAACATGGATCTTATTGAAGTGCTTAACGCTCGGAAATGAAGATGCCCGCACAATATTAAACACATAAGACCATAGATAAACAGCTCCAATCTGTAGAGTTGCCATGAGCAATGAATAAGATTTATACCAGAATTAAATCTTCAAAGTCGGACAACATCATAAATTATGTTTGCTTTGGGGGATTAATATTATACAGGTATAAATAGTTCACAACGCGAGCGGATAGGATTACTATCAAGTACCTACCGCCATTGAAAGTGAAACATAACCCAATCCAAATGTCTCGCACATATCAGGAGATCCAAAGGGGCTTCCTTTTTCTTTACAAATTGCTGGGATCATGATAAGAAACATATTCCCCAAATTCCCTGCTCAGAAAGGATTGTCACAAGAGGGTAAACATGCGCTGGAAAGAACAAAAACAAGTGGTAAATTCATCAAACTAGAACCACATTGATTGATATCCAAGTTATACAGAATGGTTCTGAACAAAGGCCATTCATCTACTATTGTAGGAGAAAAAACAAAATTCAATCAATAGGATTTCCTGTTTATCGCTTGGTTGCGACTCTAGGGGGAAAGATTTTTAAACCAGGCATGTGAAGGTCCAGGTAAAGCTAATGACTCTCTGGCTGCTGCCTTTCAAATCCGAGCAACCCGAACTGCTATCACGAGGAAATTCAAGGGGCAATGGAATTCTATGCCTCTGGCAACTTAGCTATAACAGAAGTGTCTTGTGGCTTAGGATATGGCATTAAAACTTTGAGACTTTGAAAGACCTGCACCTGGAAAAGACCAGATAGCATGAAGCGAGTGTTTACCTGCGGCACAGCAACCCACGATGAGGCCATGCAGGTGTGAGGGAGGTCTGGTGAATTGGACAACAAACCAACCAAGCAAGGAACCAATGACAAATGTGATGAGAATATTGAATGGCATGAACCACCTGTATATTCAATCACATATTATTAAAATCAGCAGCTACAATCGAACATTGAACAGCATAGGATATAACACAAATTAATCACATAAATATGACTCACATCTTCTTCATGCTGTCATATGTAATAGTTTCAGCAAGGTTGGAGGACACAAGGGCTGGATTGAAAACATAAAATACAACCTGTTCACACAAATAAACAAAAAATGTAGTAAGTGATTCAACAGTTCACAGCGGGGTTTGAATTCTCGGGAGCTGTGTTGGTAGACAAATTAAATACAAGCGTCAACAGCAGCTTACATTATTTACATGCTTTCTAGCATCTTCTCCCAACACGTCAACATGATCTAGAGCAAGATATGATCCAATTGCTGTAATCAAAAGCACTTTCAAGACAGGAATCGATGAAGCAATCAAGAGATCCAAAAGCGCCATGTTAAAGTTTCTCTATCGAATATAAAAGACCAATGACTTGAATGAGATTCTTTTAATTGCCAACTAAAACATCACCAAGAAGAAGAAAACTAAACAAAATAAGGGATCTTTGAACCTCGTAGGAAGGGCGAAATTAACCGTACAAAGGCTGTCGTTGGAAGTTATTGAGGTAACATGGAGGCAAGAAGCAGCACTGCCAAATTCAGACAAGGCATTTATTCCAGATCCCAAAATACCATTATTTTAAAGCAAGTGAAAGCAGAAAAAAAGATCCATGGAACAGTTGTCTAAGAATGCTCCAAAAAACTAGCCAAAGTTGCCACTGACGTACGATAAAACATAAGGAAGAAATTCCATGCTAGCTTTTGTCTCCAGGGAGGATTTATTTACCTTATCATGCAAACTTTATGTGCACATGATAGTATAGATATAGAGATATATATCTGCGCGTGCGTGTGCAAGGAGTCATTCCTATTCATGAAAATGGATAAGAACCTGCCAAGAAAAAGAAATTTTGAAGGATAGAAGTCAACAAAAATTCAAAGAAACGTTTACCTCTCGCGGTCCCTCCTTTGTTTTCCTTTTTTGGAAGAGAGAAAAAGGAATAAAACTAGGAAAGCAACACGTAGCATACAAAAAATGGTGGAGGTTGTCTGCTTTCTCTTTGCCGTTGGCGAATAAGAAGTCAGAGAGCAGCTTACCATATTAGCCACCATTGATTTATGGAGCCAACCATTCACAATCCTCGTACCAAGTAAATGCCCACCGCTCTCCAACAGATTCTTTTTATAGCTTCACTTATATACGATATATTTGATTATTTCTCAGGTTTATTTTTAGCTTCAACTGCATATAGGTTGAAGACAGACCGAATCTTTACCCTTAATATATATCTTTAATATATATTATGATCAAATGTCTATATTTTAAAAAATAATTAAAAATTATTTTTCTTATTTTTCTTTAGTTTATATTTAATGTTAAAATTAATAATATTATAATAACCTTAATTATAAAACTAAAAATGATCTTGTGGATTCGACACTGGACCAACCTCGAACTTGGATTGGTTCAAGTTAAAAAAATAATAAAGAAATGATTGACTTTACTGTCTAGTTAAGAACTTAAGTATTCTTAAGTCAACTCAGTATAAAATACAAGTAAAAAATTTATTGATTTTTTTTTTTAGAATTTATTTTGATTAAAATGAAGTTGTTAAAGAAATGATTGACTTTACTGTCTAGTTAAGAACTCAAGTCAATTCGGTATAAAACACAAGTAAAAAATTTATTGATTTTTTTTTTAGAATTTATTTTGATTAAAATGAAGTTGTTTTGATTATTTTTTTAAAAATACCTTGGGTTAACCAGGTTGATCCTCCCGGTTCATGACTTGAATTTTGCTTTGGGTCGACTCTTAAAACAGGTTTTAAAATATAATAATGATTTATATATTGAATCAGGTCAACATGGTTTGATCTTTCCAAATTGTGGCCAAGTCTTGCTTCAATCGACCTTTGAGTCAAGTTTTAAAACAATGTTGATAACAACTTTTGTCATTACATCGATTTAGATTAACCCTCTAGACTCATGACCTAGATTTTATCCCAGGTTAACTTTCAAATCAGATTTTAAAATTATAATGATAAACTTTTTTGTTTTTATGTTAACTTGGGTCCAACTGAGTTAAGTCAACCATTGACTCCGATCTTGACCGATGACCTAATCTATGTCTTAGATCAAACTCTTAAATTAAGTTTTTAAAACTATGATAATAATTATTTTTATTTTTATATATTTTAATTTGACAATATTAAAATTAAGAGTTATTTACAAGTATATTTTAATAATAAATATTATTTTGAATATAACATTTTTATACCTCCTCCTCCTATTTTGAAATGCAAAAGTTCACACCCAAATTATCCCATTTAAAAGTATAAAAATTATTCTAAAAACAAATTTATTTTTGTATATTTATTTCTGCATCTTCAACCACTTCATTGTCTTTATCCATCCACTTCATTGTCTTTATCCATCCTGTAGGTATCCAAACACCACTACCTTATAAATGAAGTAGGATTCGAGAAGGAAGAAAAGACAGATCAAATATCATTCAGGAGCATTTAGGTTGGGGGGCAGGGTGGTGGTGTTCGGTTAAAGTGACAAAAATTCTTTTTCAAAATTATCCTACAAGTATTCATTTTATTATTTAATCTATAAAAACTTTCAACGGGATTTGGTAATTTTTCTTAAGCTTCTACGTTCAAAAAACTTGCAATGGGACTCGGTCAATTCAAGTTCAAAATAAAATAAAATAAAATAACAATTTGTTTAGCCCCTGCTGCATTCAACCAGTAGCACCTTGCTTGAAACCAACTCCATCCCTTTATCCTATCAGATTTTCCGTCATACAAGGCAGGCGTTTAAAATGTGAATTCGCAGAACAGATTCTTTCTGATGATAGAAATTGTTGTGTAAATGGATCAAAACTTGGAACTGTTTTCTATATATAATCGTTACTAATCGAGCTAAACAATTAAGCTGTTTCAAATCCATTCTAGCTGCACAATCAGAGTAGCCGATAACCCAATGCAGGCAGAACCTGGGGTCAAAAAAGAATTCCAGGACACCAACAATAAACTTGTTGCCATCCTTCTATTCTGGTTTATGCTTTCTTCATTTGGAGTAGCAAGCATCTCCGAGAATTGACTTTTGGGGCTCTTCTACTCAGACCTGCAAAACCCAAATAAGATATCAGATCCCAAAGGCGATGCAACAAGGAAAACAGAAAGCAAAATATGCTAGCACAGGAGCTTCAAACAATCCACTTTGTTAACCTATAGGAACTAGAAAGCAGAAGCATCGCACCAGATCGCCATCTCTTCAACAGCCATCATAGACAAAGGAAATGTAGGCAGAGGATACATTGGACATGCCAGCATAGGCTTAAAGCGTCCCTCGAGCCACGGGGAAATGAAACAAATGAGGAAAAAAAACAAAAAGAGAGAAAAAACACGAATTAAAAGGGAGAAGGAGACATGGAAATGGACAACAAATTTAACAGCTTATGGATATCTTGAGAAGCTACATGATACAATAATAGCAGGAGGAGAGAGAGAAATTAAACAAAATAGGAAACGACTGATTGCTTTTGGCTCATCATCCTCTACAAGGGCATTGTTACGTTCTTGGGAAACCCCGTGAACCAAGTATCTAATCCTTCCGACTTCCACGCACCCACCAAAATCATCCATATTTTCAAGAGGAAAAAACATTTACCGTGCAATTTTCAAACCAAAATAAACACCATTCAAGCATTGCCTACAAGTCCCTACTCCACGAGCAAGAAGAAAAGGAAACTAAAATTAACAAAAAAAGGATAAATTATAAAGATATATGCAAAAAAGAAACAAAAAAAAAAAAAAAACATCATTGTGTAGTCAAGTTCCAAACTGAAATAAGGGGAGTTTTAGTTGAACTTACACTCATACAACCGAGTATTTTCCTGGTTGAGTTCCACCAGGAAGTTGGTATGTCTGGTTCGTGATGTCTTCCAAAACACGTTTTAGGTCAGCTTTAGCTCTCTTGACAGACTGTTCAGTAGGACCCTCAATGAACAAGTAGAGCTTGCGTTCTCCCGGTCCCGGCACCTTGCCTGGTGGAAAAAACTGCCCCCTGGTAGTAATGGCAGCCCCAGTCCAATCTGAAATTGGGCCCAAAGTTTCCTTGTGGGTAACCTTCCACCTAGCATTTTGGGGAAAATCATTGATTTCCAGCTCTGCTTCATAATGTTCAGGCATTGCATCAGCTTGGATCCTTGCCAGGTTGTGTTGCAAATTCATGGCAGCTGCAAGTGCTGCTGCCCTGGCTGCCCCTTCATTATTTGGAACAAAAGGCAGCCCAGTAACAGAAACAACAGCTGGACCTGGATTGGGAGGAACAGGTAATCCACCATTAGAAAGCAATTGAGCAACAGAGTGAGAAATTGGTGGTGCAGGCATGGGGACTTTTGAGACAGCAGCAAGAGCAGCTATCTGCTGAGCAAGGGCAGTCTGCTGCGAGACGTCACCAACTGACTTCCGAACAACTTCATCTTCATCTTCTGAATCAGACTTCTCATCCTCATAGCCATATTCTTTTGCCTGTGCTTTCTTTGCCGCCATTCTCTTTTCATCCTCCTCTTCATTGAATTTAAAACCACTTCCACCATAACCTGTTCCATGGGCTTGCTCAAGACCCTGATTCACTTTTGACATAAAACCATCAGCAAGAGCTTTCAAATCTTGTGGAACAACTTGCTCAGAGAGTTCCAACGCTTTTACAAGATCTGGTGCATATCTCGCGTCATCCTCGGAGATAAATGTGATGGCACAGCCTTTGCGACCAGCTCGGCCAGTCCGACCAACACGGTGAACATAATCCTCATAGTGGTTTGGAACATCATAATTGATCACCAATTCTAGATCCTTCACGTCTAAACCTCTGGCTGCAACACTTGTTGCAATCATCAAATTGCAGACATTGGTCTTAAAATCCGAAATGGTGGATTCACGATCTGTCTGATCCTTAGCCCCATGAAGTGAGAGGCAAGGGTAACCAAACTTCAGTAAGTTCCGAAACAATGAATCACATTTGTCCTGTGATTGGACAAATATCAAAATTTTTCCCTTCTGGTACCATTCACCAAGTAGTTCTAAAAGCCTAAGCCACCTTTGATCTTCTGTTCTTAACTCAACCAGCTGAGTGATGTCCTTATTCACCACACTCCTCCCACCGACCTGTATTTCCACAGGTTTGTTCAGTACTTTACGAGCCAAAGTTTCAACCTGTCGAGGGAAAGTCGCAGAAAAGAGTACAGTTTGACGATCTGGGCGAATATTCTGGACAATTCTAGTGATTTGAGGTTCAAACCCCATGTCAAACATCCGATCAGCTTCATCCATAACCAGATATGTAACTCTGCGAAGATTAGTGATTTTTCCTCCACTGGTGCACAGTATGTCAATCATTCTGCCTGGAGTACAGACAACTATCTCTGTCCCCCGTTTTAATTCACTAATTTGTTGGGCAACACCAGAACCTCCATATACAGGCACGCATCTGATACTCAGGGCCTTAGCAAACTTCTTTATATCGCTGTGGATCTGCTGCACAAGCTCCCTTGTGGGTGCCATTACAAGCCCAATCGGTCCTTCTCCAGCTTCCACAGGAGGCTGGTCCTTGATATGCCTCAGCATTGGCAGCACAAATGCAAGGGTTTTGCCTGAACCAGTTTTTGCAATGCCTATGCAGTCCCGGCCACTCATGATTATAGGCAGGGCCTGAGCTTGAATTGTCATTGGCTTCTCATAATTAAGCTTCTTTATCATCTCTAGAATTTTACTTGTGAGTCCTGTCTGGTGCCAGGTTTTAATTGGTTTTGGCACATCCTTTCCATGTAATTTTAACTCCAGTTCTTTCCTATATGCAACAACCTCCTCAGGAGTCATCCTCGAGATCTCCTTCACTTCAATATAGAAATTCTTCCGGAAAGGATTGTAATCAATCTTTGAGTGGTCAACAATGGACAGTTTCTCAGCTTTTGTTTTCTTCACCCTCTTCATGAACTCATCATCATCCTCCTCTTCTAGAGGATCTTCACCATTTTCAAGATCCCCATAGTCTGAATCAGAATCTTCCCCTGGAACAATTCTCCCTAGAGATTTATGAGAGCCTTTCTTCCTCTGTTCTCCATTGATTCGCTCTTCCTTCTTATCCTTATTCTTCAAGTCTGTTTTATTGTCATCAGCAGTATGAGTAACTAAAGTACTGTTTAGCTTCTCAACCTCAGGTAACACCATAGAATTCATAAAAGCATCAAGTGGATCAATTTCCTCATCCCCATTAACGACATCATCCTCATTTTGTGGAGCAGAGATTTCATTCTCAGTGTCCACTACCATTGCATCTTCAACTTCTTCATCAGGTTTTGCATTTTCCTCCAGGTCCATTTCCGTCTCTGATTTTCCGGTGGGAGGTGCTTCTTCATCGTCGGATTCTCCTTCAAGAGTCCAGGTTTTACCAGTCTTGGGTTCATTAACATTAGCTTCTTCCCCATGCTTTTCTCTCTCAGTTTCTTCCTTCTTCCTCCTTAGCTCTTGCCATTCCTGGACTCTCCTCCTCCTCTTCTCCATCTCCTCGTCCAACTTCTTCTGCTCCTGTTCTAACTCCTCTTCTCTGGTTTTAATCACATTCTTATCAGAGTCCTCCTCGTCACTCTTTTTCCTCAAGATCTCTTCACTGTTATCCCTGTGCCTGTTTGACCTGCTAATGCTCTGTTCGCGCACTCTCTCCTTGCAGTCATCATCATCTCTTCTTCGCCGCTTCTTATCACGATTGTTGGAATCATCATCACTGTCACTGCTCAATTCCCTATACTTTTCCCTTTCCCTAGTCCTCCTCTCCCTTTCCCTCTCCCTCTTCCTTTCTTCCCTGTCACGCTCCTTCCTCTCCCTTTCTCTATCTCTCTCCCTTTCCCTTTCCCTATCTTTCTCTTTCTCTTTCTCCTTTGCCCTCTCCCTCTCCCTCTTCTCCTCTCTGTCCTTGTCCCTATCCCTCTTCTCCTCTCTGTCCTTGTCCCTATCCCTCTTCTCCTCTCTGTCCTTGTCCCTATCCCTCTTCTCCTCTCTGTCCTTGTCCCTATCCCTCTTCTCCTCTCTGTCCTTGTCCCTATCCCTCTTCTCCTCTCTGTCCTTGTCCCTATCCCTCTTCTCCTCTCTGTCCTTGTCCCTATCCCTCTTCTCCTCTCTGTCCTTGTCCCTATCCCTCTTCTCCTCTCTGTCCTTGTCTCTATCTCTGTTTCTGTCCTTAGCTCTCTCTTTATCACCATCCCTACTCCTTGCTGCTCTATCCTTATCCCTGTCTCTATCCCTGTCTTTATGCTTCTCTTTCTCCCTTTCCTTTTCATCAGAATCACTACTCTTGTCTCTCTCAGAACGCCTGATGCTTTCACGTTCTCTCTTCTCTCTGTCTCGATGCCTCTCTCCATTCCTGTCCCTGTCCCTATCTCTATGACTCCTCTTTGAATCCTCTTTCTCCTCCTTCCGTTCCGAATCATCTTTTCTAGATTTATGTTTCACGTCCTCCATAATTACTCGCTCGCTTACTTATTTTAATGCTCAATCAATGAAACATCAATAAGCATAACCGATCCCCCTGCTTCTAATATAATACGCCGAGTTCTTTCTTGCCCTTGGGGTCTAGCCAGTCAATTAAGAATAAAATCAAATGGAACACTTGGAAATAAACCCTAGCACGTCAATGAACAGAAAATGCAAATAAATTTTAATTGTGGCCAAAAAAAGCTTACGGCGGTGCAGCCAGCCAGCCAGCCACCCAACTACGTTAATAAACCACCCGATTCAAAATTAGATTGTATCAGTCATCGAAGAATAAGAAGAGCAAAGAGATGAGAACAGATTACTATAGGAAAAGAAAAATTACCTGAAACGTCTTTGGAAATGAAGAGAGAAAGATCTCTCGTAAACCCTAATTGCTTACTGCCACTTGATTTTGGGGATCGATCTTTCCCTTCCGTTCTTCTCTTCTTTTTTTCCCGTGTTTGTGTTTATATTACAAGGGCCGGCCTCTTTTATTCTGTTAAGGGTTAAGACTCCAACGCCCCTCGCCGCATGCTATGTACACGGGCCGGTTGGTGAATGAGGATTCCGTTTCGTTTGCATCTGGATTGAACTTGGGCTGGGTACATTTGAGAGATGGGCCCTTGACCCAACAAAGACAGAGATGGGGCTAATATTTTGATTCTCTAATATCAAAAACAGGATTGGTCATGACCGTCCTTGCCTTGGGCAACCATTGCTCCTCCTCTCCAAGAAAACTGAGACTTTTTTTTTAAAAAAAAAATTGCATGACTATGGGCATGTTTATATCGGTTTTTAAGGGTAAGCCTTCAATACTAGATACTCGATAAATCTAAGAAAATGATTTTAAGAAATAATTAGTGTACAAGATAGATATATTTAAATAATATATTAAACTAGACAATGTATAAGATATTTTTGCGAAGCAGCCTAAATAAAACCAAATCAAATAAAGTATACCTCCGAGCATTATGTTTAGCTCCCTCGCCATCCAATCTGGAGCCCTCCCTCGTGAATTTAGTACCTCATCAATATAATATTCTCAAGTTTTGGTGGTAAGGTTCAAAGCCTTAACCACAGCCAAATGGGGTTAAAAAGATGAATTTCCTTATTTATCATTTTTTTAATTAAAAAATGGAATTTTGTTAGCTAATGTAGGAAAGGAAGGAAGGGCACAATCGGGAAACACAAGGGCAATATGGTCTTTATGGGGGCACGGTAAGCGGGTAAGGCAGATCAGCATCAGCCCCGCAATAAAAATGCGTCCAGCCAGGTGTTGGATTTCCTCGAGAGTCAAAGGAGATTTATTTATATCAAAGCAGAGAGGGAAAGAAAAGAAAAATCCTCACTCCCACCCCCACCCCACAGCCATGGATTTGCTCCCCTACTTTCCTCCTCGTCTTTGCTCTTCCAACAATTAACCCCGTCTTCGCCGATAAATTCGAAAGAATTCGCAAATCGAACCGTCCTTCCTTTGGGCTGGCACTGACCACACCATATCTTCTACGCTCGTCGGATAAGAATCGATTCCACCCTTCTCTGCCTTCCTCTTCACCTGCATTGTCCGCTTCTGCTCAAATTCAAACCTTGATACGCTGCCGTTTTCTCTCTCCTCTCTCAACCTCCGCCTCTCCGATCTCCGAAAGGCAAGCTTTTACCACTTTTTTTATTTATCTGCCCTTTATTTTGAATCTTGAATTGTATAGCAGTTAGGTTTAAACATTGAAAATCCTTTTTAAAAAAAAACTAGAATTGGATTTTTGGGAGTGATAATTCTTTTTTTAATTATTAATATTTTCTCCACAAAATATTTTACTAGAGGCTAACGTGAATTATCCCTGTATTTTATTTGTTTTCCAAAAAAATATTAATTTAATTTAGTTTTATACGAGGTAACATAAAAATAATATTAGTAACAATTCGTTATATTTGCTTACAGGGTGAGCTGGACCCAAAAAAAATAATATTAATGAGCGAAATGGAAGATAGTGAAATGGTTACGGTACAAGATTTGCTGGTAGACTCGGAAGCTAAGAAGCCGAGTGAGGCCTCTGTTAAAGAGCAGGAAGAAACTGCTGATGCTTCAGTGGAAAAAAAGTCGAATGAGAATGGGCAGGCATCGGTTGCTGACGATGACCACACTGTGACTTTGGCAACTGATGTTCCTATGAGTGATACTCAAGCTTTGCCTAATGAGAAAAATGATACGGATGAAAATATTAATCAGCAAGCGGGGGAAGAGAAAACTGATGGAGATGATGGTGGCTGTGTTCAAAATCAGCCACAAACTGCTACTCCATCGACCCCGAGGAGGCATGCGACTCCTAAATCAAAGCATGATAGTGCGGCAAAGTCCAAGAACGTGTGGACGGATATTAAGGTAATTGAAACTGCCATCCAAATGCTTGGAATCTTGGAAGTGGATGTAGTGTTTGTGATGGAATGACTATCTGTTGTTTCAAATGTAGATGGGGGAGGCTGATGTTGCAGGTACCCCAGAAGAGCGAGCTGCATTCATGAAGGAGCTGGAAACTTTTTATAAGCAGAATACCATGGATTTCAAGCCCCCCAAGTTTTATGGGGAACCATTGAACTGCCTGAAGTAAGTTTTATGTGAAAATAGTTTGAGTTTTTTCTAATGATAAGTATCTGGCTTGTAGGTGTGAGTTAATATTGTCGTGTTTCCCCTGGGAATTAGGTTATGGAGGTCTGTGATCAAACTGGGTGGCTATGAAGTGGTATGTGTATTTTCTTTCGCTCTTCAGTACCATTTTTCATTTTCTGTGGGTTTTAGGCTTTTGCAGCAAAACATTTCTGCACATGAATGGATTTTGTAGTTGTATGTTAAGCATGGTTTCTGGAATTGGTGCAAGAAATATGAAAACCTTGCAGCAGAAACTGTTACACTGAATCAGTAGTGTTGACTATCTACTACTGGAAATTTAAATATCCCACATTTGTGGCTAGATCAAATTATAAATAAGCAAAGGGATTAAGAGTAGCGTTAGTAGTTGCTTGAAACATATCAGGTTACTGTGCTCCTGTTGTCAAGCATAATGGGCATTGTGCTTCAAAACGCCTGCATGTGCTGACAGCCTCTTTTTTCTTATCATGTCTGGAACAATGTAGGTTTGTCCTTTTGAATGGGAGTTTAAAAGTTAATAAATTTATTTCTATTCCTCCTCAAAACTGAAAAGGCACACCTGCTTTTACAAACTGCAACTAAGTACTGCCAAATTCCTCTCCAAATAAAGCTAGCACTACCAAATTCTAATGCTAATGGAATTTGGTAATGCTAGCTTAATTTTGAGAGGAATTTGGCATTCTCCTCACATTGGTTAAATTTAGGATAATGAAAGGCAAAAAATTGAAGCAACAATTACATCGAACAAAATTGAGAATCGGTCATAATGAATGAGATTAACCAAAAGATAAGGGACATTGATGAGAATGGTTGGAGAAGAATGGCACATCCAAAGAAAATCAGTATCGTTAGCAGAGAAAATGTCAGCATTTTATGAACTTGCTGTTACAGAATTCTTCTTAATAATAAAGCATAAGGGCTCGAGTTTTTGTTTCACCTGGGTAATAATGAAGAAAATGCTTGATCTCCATCCAGCTTCTGGAGTAAAAACATGTGGATACGTGATATGCTTCAGGATCTTAACATCTATATAATTCCAGAAATGTAATGGAGTACTTGTAGTTACACAGTCCTGTGCCTTACATGATACCTTTTGTGTTTATGTGCCTGTATTATTTTCTTCCGATTTTTTTGTGAATAGAAACATCTAATTAAAAAATTTGAGTATGAAAATGCAGCTTCAATGCACTTATATGCTGTATTTCAATTGTTTTGTACTTCAACACTATATTTCATGGATTTTCATGTGTTTATTGCCATTAACTTATGACAGCTGCTTTTGATCTATCATATATGTAGGTTACTGCTAACAAGTTGTGGCGGCAAGTGGGAGAGTCTTTCCACCCTCCCAAGTGAGGAAGGATAATTCTTTTAAGCAATCTTGTTCAATTTGCATGGTTTATCATAGGATTATAAAGGCCAAGTCTTTTTTAAGTAATTTGTAAAATCTGCATGGATTTAGCATGGGATCGTTAAGCATTTTCAGTTACAATTCTTTTCAGTATTTTCATTTTATGCTGCAGTCGGTTGCCATAACCTTCTTTCTGATCCTTGCATCTTGGTTGCGGGCTATGAATGAGTGGCAATAATTATATGGGTGGTTATAATCTGGAAAAAAATTATCATTTAATTTGTCCAACTTTTCTCTGTCTCTCACAGGACCTGCACAACGGTGTCTTGGACATTCCGCATTTTCTATGAGAAGGTAATTGCTTTTTTTCTCTTCTTTTCTTTCTTTCTTTGTTGGGTGTTTATTTATTTATTAATTTATTTTTTGTGGTGAAAATGCTCTGTATATATCCATTTTGTACTCGGTAACATGTGTTGGAACTAAATGGGTTAGATAAAACCGTAAATTAAAACTTTGTTTTGTTTTCCTCTAATGTGGAAGTTGTCAGTGTTGAAAAGTGTCCAGGCTTATCTTTTTTGGAATTGAAGTGAGTTTAGCTGTCCTTATGTGGATGATTTAAAAACTAAGTGGTGGACCAATGGATTGTTGTTCTCTGTTTGACTTTCTTGTAATTCTATTCCTGATCCTTCATTTACTGCAGGCACTTCTGGAATATGAAAAGCATAAGAAGGAAACTGGTGAGCTTCAACTTCCTAGTTCACCCTTGCATCAGGCTACTAGTGTTGAAAAGGAGGTAAACTTCTGTTGTTGCTTTTTTTACTGTAGCATTTCCAAAATCTTTTACCTGGTAAAAAAGAGAGAATCACTAGAGCCTGTACAGAACTGCTCAGTGCTATTGAAAAGCTTGGCTTGTGCTCGTTCATTTGCAATATCGAACTGAACTTGAACTTAAGTGGTTGAACTTGTGGTCTTGCTTAGAAATCAATGCATCAAAAAGTCCTCTGTTTTTTTTTTTTTTTTTCCTTTGGTTATTTTGAATTGAGGTTACTAAAGTAGACTTCATTTGTTGCAAATGTAGGGAGTAGGCAATCATTTGATAGTATTATAGCACGTATAGATTTCTATCTCAAAATTACAACTTGTGCTACATATGGTCACAGAGTTTTATTTGATGAGAGAAAAGTGCACTCTATGATTAAAAGCTGTTAAAGTTTTAACAGTTCACTAAAATCCATGCATCTTTGTGGTTGTGTACATGCACATAATGTAATTGATCAATCGCATTTCTGACACAAAAGATAGTCTGTTACACTGGATGAAACGGGATGATAAATCCTGGCATCTTGCTGAACGTGAAATCTGTGTGCATCACTATACGGATGCTTCTGCCAAGTGATCAATTGTTATTGTTAGTGTTTGTCTCTTGTCAGCCATACAAATTGCTGATAAACCATACTGGATTTAACTTAGTTTTGCTTATAAACTGTTAATACTCAACTATGAGGAAACCACAAGATGAGGAGAAAACCAGAAGCCTGTGGCTAGTGCAAGTATAAATGATGTATTTTCTTAAGCTCGGGGAAAACAATGTTTTTATTGGAATTTATATACTGATGATTTTGTGAGCTGAAGTTGTTTGGAACAAACTAGTTTAGTAGAGTTAAGTTCTATGGTTTCTGGTTCTCATTCCTTTTGTCCCTGGTTTCCTAATTTGTACCTTTATTCATCCCTCTCTCTCTCTCCCCATCAGGCAAGTGGGTACCAAGCACCTGGATCTGGCAGGGCAAGAAGGGATGCTGCTGCTCGTGCTATGCAGGGTTGGCATGCTCAGCGTCACCTTGGACATGGTGAGGTTAGCGAGCCAATTGCTAAGGTTTGTTGTGACAATAACATACACTTCCTTTTATATTTATATTTGTGCAGAACATTGCGGTGAAATGATGCTTTTCATTTCTCCTGAGCAGGTCAAGAGCTTAAATTTTGCAAGGCGTGAAAAGCCTCTCAAAAGTATCGGTACAACTCCTAGATTGAAGATCTTCTTAGTTGGCATGTTTTTGACACAGACATAAGTTTTTATTTTTATCCTGATTTTCTGAGATAGGTTTGCACAGACAGAAGACAACTAACTTGGAACTTGCCGAGAGACCTATGAATGCTGAACCAGATAAGGAGTTAAGATTGTTCATCATTCCTTTTCAACTTATTTTCTCAGTTTTGTTCACCACTGTATTCGTACTATATATTAAATGGTCATTAGATGATCCTACTGTTTCTTATGACATCATCTTTCAGCACAGTAGCAACTGTAGATTGTATCTTTCAACAATTGAACCATGACTTATTTATAGCTGTTCTCTTAGGTTCTTGGTTTCAAACTACCACTGGAAAAAGAAAAAAAATCATCCATAAAATGTGATCAGTCCAAGTGCCCTGTTTTACACCTAACTGCACGCACGATATAAGGTGTTTTCTTTTTGAGGCTAAATGTTTTTCCCCTTATTAGAGTGGATGCTGAAATTGCTGATATTGGACCCCCTGCTGATTGGGTGAAGATCAATGTGCGGGAAAGTGTAAGCATCTGCTGTTTTCCTTTCTCTTAATTTCTGTACCCCTGGGCCTTTTCACTTGAATGCCTGATCTAGTTGTCGAGTTCATTCCACTATAGCTTACTGACTAATATATTGCTCCTATACACAGAAAGATTGCTATGAGATATATGCTCTAGTCCCAGGACTTCTCCGTGAAGAAGTAAGCACCTTCTCTTGATTTTGCCCTTTCTCATAGTTTGTCTCTCCTGCTCTCATTCTTACCTCCTTGATGATATTTAGGTGGAATTTATAGATAGAATGCATCGTGCCATGCTTGGCAATAACAAGTTAGTGAGCTAGATTTCTGATCTCTTTATTTGGTTGTACACCAAGCAAGCTGGTTCTTTCTTTTGCACCAGGACAATAGTTGCAGGAACTAAAGATGTTTGTTCTTTCAATTTTAAAACTTGAACTATTCATTAGTAACATTATTATTGACCATATCACTTGGCCTAGAATATGCATGAAATGGCTTTTTTTGGTGGATCAGGTTCGGGTTCAATCAGATCCTGTTGGACGTCTGGTTATAACAGGTCAACCAGAGCAGCTGGACAATCCTTGGGGTATAACACCATTTAAGAAGGTATTGTTTTTGCCCCCCAAAAGAATAGTAACTTTAAAAGAAGAGAGGTGCTTCTGCTTTATAATCTTTGACTGGAGTAAATGGTACTTCTGTTCCAATATAGATTCACGATGACTTGCCCATGGGAGGGCTGGCATCAGTGAGAGCATGGGAATCATTTATTTGTAACTAAGACATGGGGTGTGAGAAAAATTAGTCACCGACTCTGCCAGCAGTTGGATCATTCATTATGTAAAGCATCTCTTTAGAAGGTGAAATTGTTTATGGTATTTGTGTGGTTGGATTGGCAGAATGTTCTGTGGTGATGGCCTACTGCTTAGAAATATTTATCTTGTATGTGAATAACTTTTGAAATTGTCTTTTTTGGTCAGGTTGTGAGCTTACCTACAAGAATTGATCCACTTCAGACGTCTGCTGTTGTTAGCTTGCATGGGCGACTCCATGTTCGTGTCCCTTTTGAGCACGGATCAGCTTGACTTTCCTTCTTGTGAGTCGGACATTGATTAACTTTTCTAGGTAGAAATCATAAATTTTGGGAGAGACAGACAAAGGCTTGAAAGGGAATAACTGGGATTGTTTTTGTTTCTCTCACCGTGTTAAAGTAGCTCTAACTACTGAACTTCGTAGATGCCAGCTTATTATGTGCAGAGTAGTTTCAGAAGATCTGTTAATTGTAAAACTGATGCATGTCACTGGGAAGCCATATTGATCCTGTGGCTGGAAACCCTGTGTAAGACTGCGGTTATAAATGGCTGCTGGTAGCAGTTTCAATTGATCCTGTGACTGAAAACCATTCCCATGGCATTTTCAGAAACCAGTTTGTGACAAAATAATGCCAGACACGTTTCCTGCCTTGGCGACGGTGACCTGATCCACATTCCAATGTTCTGTTTTTGTTTTAAACATACAATATGATTGGGAAGATGTTAATGATGCCTGAAAGCTGGTGCACTTAGGCACGATATTCCACTCCAGCCTTCTCCGGGACAAACTGCATGCTTCGGAGCTTGATGTTTCCGAAGTAATTCCATCTGACAGGGCAGCAGTCTTCTGTATTTTAATCAAAAGCGAAATACAAACCCCTATCTACGGACGCAAGTTTTTTAGCTGCAAAGAAGTAAATGATGCCATGAAAATTAAATTTACAACAGTAGCCTATCAAAGTCAAGAAAATGAACAATGAAATAATTCCCTCGATTCACGTTCTTAAAGTATTCACCCTAATTTGGGTCTTATTGCCTCTTGGATTTCTCAAATTTTCTCATCTAGATGAGAAAGATTTGGATTCGGATTGTGATCTAACGTGTGAGATAGGGATATAAACAAAGATATTAAAATAAATTGTTTTAATAAAATAGTTTTGGAATATATCTTCTTTTATCTTTATTGTTTTTTAAAATATTTTTTATTAAAAATAATAATATTTTTTATTTTTAAAAAATTTATATATATCCGAAAATATTAAAAAATAATAATTGATTTAAAGTTAAAAAAATAATTTCTTTCAAAAACATTTTTAAAACAAAAGAAAAAAAACAGTATATAAATATTACCCGCACATTATTTTATTTTCAATTTTAGTTCCAAGTGTTAGACATAATTGGCAGGTTTTATCACATAATGGAAAGCTGACACACGCATGATGATCCATGACTCTGTCTTAGGAGCTAAGTGAACCTTTAACAACGTGGCTGCCATTGTTTTATCATGTCGTTCATTAATTGCTGAGCATTTTCTAATCAAGGCTTTACGATTAGCTCTGATGGGAAATTAAACCATGCATCATCCTGAGTTTCTCTATATATTTAGCCCTTACCGTAACTTCTGCAGATTGTAGCAAGTGAATTGGCCGATATTATCACGAGGAATATTAATACAGCTGATCACATTATGTGTACGAAAGAAGCTAGATTTCTCACCAGCTATATCTTACTGCACCAGTAGAAATCATGAATGGACCTCTCTCTCTGAAATCATGCATGCTTCTTTCGCCTTTAATTTATCCTAAGCATATATACTCCGTCACCTCCCACTTTTATAGCTTGAATTTGGCTCCAGACTTTTAGAGGAAGATATTGGAAAAAGGGTGGGTGGGGAGGGAGGGAGGGAATCCAAGACCTGCTGATGCTTGCTTGCATGCATGCTATAGTAAACTTACAGTACTGTACTCCAAGAAAGCATGCCCTAAACAGGCCCTGATACAGTGCAGTGACATTAATGGTGTTGGAATTTTACTGTAGAACATAACATTAACGGTACTTTTTGGGCTTCCCTAGCCACAGGAGGGGGGAAGATGTGAGGTGTCATGATGATTAACATGCATACTCCGCTGTGTTTCCCCCCAACATATAGAATTCATATACAATACCTGCGATCAAGAATATATATATGTTGAAACCATAAGGAAAACATACATATCTAGATCATGCAAGAATTCGATTCATTTATATATCAAAATTAAGGAGAAAAAACAGGTTCTGCGACAAACATGAACCTCTATTGCTCTTTATAACCATATATACTATTCAGGAGAGGGACTAGAGTCTTCAGCAACAAAAAAATATTTCTTCTCTAATCTCTTCTTCTTCTATTTAGTTAATAACAATTAACCGAGTAAAGATCCCAGGGTCTTGAGGCGCTATATCAACCAAAAACAGAAAAGGAAAAGGAAAAAAAGTGTTTCATGAGCTGTTGCATTAGTATACATACTGCTGGGATGAAAAACATTCTATAACTAATATTCTTAATTAAGAGTTGGTAATTATATATTCACGCCAAAGCAAATCGCATGGTCAAAGCACGAGCAGGCCTTCAAAAGACTCTGGTGCACATGTGATGTGAGTGTACCATGAGAAGATTGTAGCAAAGGTATGAAGAAATTAAGCCACTGGAAGTTGGGATTATGATTCTTAAATCTTTTCTGCAATGCAGCTGATCTAGCCACATGGGTTTGGGGTAAATTAATTCTTTAAAAAAGAAGAAGAAAGATGAAAACTTAATCCAAAAAAAATATCGTATATAGTTCCTACAGACTTTTTTATATGTTGTTGTGGACACTGAGATAACTACTAGAAGCTCAGGGTAGCATGGAGAAGATATGTTTTTATTCTATGCTTAATTTATGTTTTGAAAATATAAAAATTTATTCTAAAATTATCTTAAAAAGATTACATTTTTAACCAGACATGTTTATGTTTTTTTTATTTTTTTATATTGATCTCTTCTCTGTTGCACTAACGAGACACAACGTCGACCTGGTTGTTTGACTGCTGTAACAGTAGTATTGTTAACTAGTTTCATCATATCTTGTAACTGACAATAAGAAAAAGCTTTCTAGCTGCTGTGACGCTTGGTGAAAACAAGAAGTGTAAGTTGGGCACGCGAGAGACAGATAGAGAGAGAGTAAAAAAGAGACACCTTAGCTAGGGCATCTACTGTTCTCGAAGTTCAGAACTAGGTTTTTTTACTCTCTTTTATTGTAAATGGAACAGCAGCCTTCTAAGGTTCTTCACTGGTGCTTTTCCCCAGGTGGGTAAGAAGAAATAAAATGAAGGAAGAAGACATGGGCACATGCAAGACAAATAAGATATATGTGTGCAACTGCAGTCCTTTGGGGCTGAGCTCAGCCGCTCAGGAGTGATCTTTATTCTGGGTTTCCATGCCTTCAAACAAAGAAGACATATAATTCTAAAAACAAAGGATGTACACTAATTAATGGAATAATTAAGAAAAAAATCAGTGCTAGGTTGTATGAATATTTGTTATATGATATAATATTATTAAAGGACTAGTGTATCAGGAAAACTGCCACCAGTGTATTATGAATATTTGAAGAAGAAATTCATAAACTGATCGATGCAGCACATTTTTCTATTCTAATACAACAAGAACCATATAATATTTCTTGCACAGGAATTATGTATATATTAAACCCTAGCTAGCTGGCCAGAGTTGTGCATCAAACTATATAACTATTAATTATTGACCTGATTAAGCAATTAAAAAGCGAAGGAAAGGAAAATTAGGAACGATACCAAAAACACAAACTGGTTTATACATGAAGTTATACTTACTGACCTTGCCAAATCTGTGAATTTCATCGCTCTAGTTCCTATCTGGGTTCCAAAGGAAAGTGATACCAGGCAGCCTCCATGAATACACTTCTTCTTCTATTCCTTTTCCTCTTGTCAATGAAGAAATTAATTAGGAGACCGATCTCGATCTTTTTGGTCACCAGAACATCACATCACGGCCAAGTTTATATATTAATACAAAATATATACTTGCAAGTTGATTGCTTTATATATATATATATATATATTCCCTTGAGCATTGCTTCATCGTCAATTATTCAAAGCTGATCACCAGAAAGTCCCTTGCGCAAATTCTGAAGCTAATTTTTTCCTAACATCATCACTCGTTGGAAAAAAATAAAAATAAAACCCTTTTTACCCTAATCAAAATGGAGGCCTTGAAGCATTTCCACCCCATGATCCAAATAAATCAGTTGAAAATGGATAGGTCCCATGATGAGCTCCTCCCATAGGAAAAAAACCACCTCCAGTGCTGCTGCCTCCTCCACCATCACCCATCTGTCCACCACTTCCAGTCACACCCGAGTTCTGAGAAGCCGTGGGTTGAACCTGCACCTCCCCAGCTTCCTCTTGATCATCCAAAGGCAAACGCTCAAAAACTGCATTAGCAAAAGATGCAGCCATCAAAACCACAGGACCTGCGGCCATTAAGAGGCCCACAACATTCCCTCCAACAACCTGTCCTTGTCCACCAGACAAAAAAATCGACAACCCTCCCGCACCAGGTGGCGCAGGTGGAGGAAGCACGGTTCCAGATAGAGAAAGGATCTCAAACCTTCCGTGCAAAGTAAGCACACTCCCTGCGGGAGAAGCTGGCTGCCTTAAAGTAACATTAGCAACACTCCCACTCCCACTAAGAACACAAACTCCTATCCCTCTCTTCCTCGCATAATTGGACACACTTTCCACTATATCAGCACCACTAGACACCTCAAGCACATGGGATCGGAGGGCATTAGGGCTGTCCCGTGTTACAATAATGGGCGGCTTCGGTTTGTTCTTGGAACCAGCTGGACGGCCTCTAGGGCGGGAACTAGGAATGGTCCCACCGCCCCCAGAGCTAGTGCCAGAAGGAGTCCTATCCTGGTGATGATCACTAGTTGCAATTGGCTTGGCATGATCTGGTGAAGGGGTGTTGTTTTCTTTAGAATCAGAAGAAGGAATGGTTGGAGGTCTTTGAATCAGATGAAGTTCAGGTCTGAGAAGGTTGTGATTGTGATGAAGGTAGCGAGAGTTATTACCTGTAGAAGTTGATTCATAACCAGCCATGGTGGCAGTCCTTGCCACATCTATTCTCTCCCACCACTTGCTATTATTTGCCAGCTTTAATTTGATCTCTTCTTCTTCTTCTTCTTCTTCTTCTCTTTTGATCTCTCTGATTTCGTCTTCTCTTTTGATCTCTCTGATTTCGTCTTTACTTAAATAATTTATGCTAGAAAATATACTTCAGATCATCGAAACCAGAAGATAAAAAAAAAATCATGTCATGATTTTCAAAAGAAATTGAAAAAATATTTAAAAAAACATTGAGAGATCAGAGGAATTAATATATACTATCAAATATGTTTTATAGCAAGTGAAAACAAAAATTAGACTAATTAACATGCAATATTTCTTGAAGATGAAGATGGAAATGAAAAGAAATTATAGAAAGTTTGGGGTGTGAAGAGAAAAAAAAAATAGGAAAGGGAATTAAGCAAAGGGAATCATTTATGTGATATGAATGGATACACCGGATTATAATTTTTTATTTTTTTCCCTTTAACTATAAAGGTATCTCGAATTTATTTTATTAGGGTTTATTAGAATTCCTACCGAGAAATTGTCAACAGGCGTTTAGTCTTTTGGTCGTTGTTTTTTGATATCAAACGAAAGGTCAAGAATACATTAGGTAGTAGATTTGTTTATATTTAATTACACCATACTATATATAAAAAAATAATCAACAAGCATATGGTCCATTGGTTCTTGTCTTTTTATTAATACCAATCAAGAGATCATGTGTGTTAAATATTGAATTTATTTACATCATACGTGTAAGAAAGACATGATTAAAATCAACTAATCAGTTTTATTTTGATACCCACACTAATCTTCTATTATATTAAACTCAAATTCTTTTTTATTTTTATATATACTAATTCTTAATAAATATTCATCTTTTTCAAGTGAAAAAAAAAAAAACCTTATTAGCTAGATAAAAAAGATATGGTGGTGGGGATTTCATGGTGTATACCTCTTTTTTTTTATGATTTGTTTCAAGAATGGTAAGGATTTATTGTAAAAGAAACATCTCATTTAAAAGTTTAAACAATTAGATGAGGTCTCAATATATAATTTATATTATTCGCTAACATATCCCTTCAAGTAAAGACTATTTAGATTTGAAACTTATATGGATTCACATTATTTTATACTTAATTTTTATCAAATAAATAAGAATATTGCGATTTGAACTCTTGACCGCTTGATCATTAAGACTCTAATACCATATTAAAAAATCATCTCAGCCCAATATAGCTTATAGGATTAAGTTATGTTTCAAGATATGATTTATATTATTCTCTAATATTTATTAATAAAAAGTTTTGTCATAATGATTTTTCTATGGAATTGTGTATTATTTCGTATATTAGGAATAAATTCAAATTTAAAGCAATCACTCTAGATTGAGAGTATTTTTTTTATTTCACAATAATGCATCTTGGATTCATTTCTATAAATCTAGCTTCATATATAATGGCATGAATTTATTAAAAAATAAAAAGTGTGGTAGCTTGAAGTAATAAGCGTCTGTAACTTATTACACTACTTTCATTATAACTATTGTTTTATCTTTTCTTTATCATGTTAGATTTTTATCCTTTACATAGCTAGCTTTATATGTTTTTTTGGTATTTAAAAAATGAAAAAAAAAAGAAGTGATATGGTTCGCAAGGAAAGGTGAAACTTTTTTAATAGAAAAGAAAACATGGTGGTGAAAAATAAGTGATGTAATAAAATTAATTAAGCAAAGACAATTAAAATCAATATATTAATTAATTGCTTCATTATAATTTTATAATTCTTTAGTATATAGGAGTACATTTGATAAACCTATTTTTAACAAGTCTAAACAATCTTATGACACTCCTTCATTGGGCACACTCAAGGGAATGAGCATGTCCCGAGTGAGTGCTTGACAATGTGTTAAGCCCCGGATACATGGATTTGGTGCTACATCCAACCGTAATTGGACTTGATAGCGTGCCAAGCAATGTGCTAAGCCCCGGGCACATGGATTTGGTGCTAGACCCAATCATAATTGGGCTTAATAGCGTGCTAAGCCTCGAAATGCGAGGCTTGGTTGTATGCCAAGGCCCTGACATACCTATGAGAATGTGCATCCTCCCTTAAAACATTTAAGGAAAGAACCATCTGTCTTAGCACGCCGTTTGAACTTGGCATTTTGCCACGTCCACGATAACATGAGTCTAACAAATATATTAAAGCAAAGATACTTGAACTTGGCATTTCACTAAGTCCACGATAATGTAGGTTTGACATATATGACAAACCTAAGATACTTAGACTTGATATTGAGCCAAGTCTAAAGTAATGTGGGTTATCAAACCTAAGGCACTTAGACTTCGCAGTTAGCCAAGTTCAAGATAACATGAGTCTAGTAAACATGTTAAACCAAAAGCACTTGGACTTGGCAGTTAGCCAAGTCCAAGGTAACACTTGTTTAGCAAATATATCAAATTTAAAGTATTTAGACTTGGTAGTTAACTAAATCCAAGATAATAACCATACTCCCCTGACATACCTAAGAGAATGATTATCCTTCCTTTGGCATGCCCAGCGATGATCATCCTTTCTTGGCATGCCTAAGGGAATGAGGTAATGTGGGTTTAGCAAACATGTCAGGCCCAAAGCATTTAGAATCAAACAGAGACAATGTAGTTTAGTAAATATACCAGATCTAAAGTACTTGGACTTAACAATCAGTCAATTCTATTGCACTTGGACATGACAATTAGTCAAGTTTAAGGTAACGCATGCCTGACAAACATGTCAGATCCAAGGTAATTGGACTTGGCAATTAGCCAAGTTCAAGATAACGACCATCCTCCATTGGGCAAACCCCATGGAATGACTATCCTTCATTAGCACGCCTAAAGGAATGAGGCAATATGAGTCTGGCAAATATACCAGACCCAATACGTTTGGACTTAGCAGCTAGTCAAGTCCAAGATAACGAGGGTGTAATAAACATGTTAGACCCAAAATACTTGAACTTGAAAGTTAGTCAAATCCAAGGTAACACGTGCCTGGCAAAGATGTCATACCCAAGGTACTTGAACTTAGTAGGTAGTCGAGTCTAAAGTAACGACCCGTCCTTCCTTAGCACACTTAAGAAAATAATCATCCTCCCTTGAACATGCCTTAGGGAATGATTATCATTCCTTAGCACCCTAAAGGAATTAGATAATATAGGTCTGGCAAACATGTCAGACCTAGCTAAGACATTTGAATTTAGTAGTTAACCAAGTTTAAGACAACATGGGTCTTACAACCATGTCAAATCCAAGGTAATGACCTACCTTCTTTAGACACGCCCAAGAGAATGATCATTCTCCCTTGGCACACCCAAAGGAGTGAGGTAATGTGGGTCTGACAAACATGTCAAACCTCAGACACTATCACTTGGGAGTTCGTCAAATCCAAGGTAATAACCATCTTCCCTTAACATGCCTAATGAAAAGACTATTCTCTCTTAGCACGCCCAAAGGAATGACCAACCTCTCTTGAGTCTAACATCGAGGAAAACTTAGTCTTTATGGGTTTAGCTACATTTGACGTCTTGAACCTTAATCTCATACACCAACCTTTATGGGCTTAGCTATATTTGACGTTTTAGACCTTAATCTCATACACCTTTTAGTTGTATAAAAGTCTTTCAAAGACCCACCATATTCCCATCAAATATTAATATAGATGTAAATATATTTATCTCTTCGAATATGTATTTCATATTAAATGCTACTAGGGTAAGATTACACTCTAAACCCTTATTTTCATAAAAGGATAAGACTTACGTGTTATAAATACACCATGAGACCTTCAGAACAAAGGTTCACAATCTTAATTCTCTACTATATATATATATATATATTTAGAGCATATCTCTCTAGAATATTTTTATAATTTTTCTCTATAAAAAGATACTTATTTAAGTATCGAAAAGTCTCTACCTCCACTTAAAGAAATCTTTTGCAAATACAAGTCACAAACCATCTTGACCCACCAAGCATCCAGTGTAAACTATCATCTATCTTGGTGAGGAAAAATGAATGAGATTGACATGACCAATTGATTAACTGATTATCTAATATGAACCCTATTACTATGTTAGTTGGATTTTTTAGACTTCATTAACATCATTAAGTTAATTTATCTTGCTCACATTCATTCATTAGCTTTATTATTAATAATATTATTATTTTATGTTATGTTTTTTCTTTTATTATTATTATTATTTGAGATAGGAAAAAGGAGTAAGTGCTTCTAAATATATCTATACTTTGCATAAAGGTGTTGTTATTGACATATCATAGTTGCTAATAACCCTTTGAATTTTTATTTTTTTAATTTATAATTTGATAGGTATATTGTCTTTTGCTTTTTATAAAAAATATTAACATTATCTTTTTATAAATAATTCAATAGCTGATGTAGATTATATATTGAAGTCGATCTAGGCATTAACCTTAAAAAAATAAAAATAATATCAAGTGCATCGAATGGAAAAACATAAATGATATATATAGTGAGATGTGATTTATCCAGAAGAATAATTATTTAAAAAAACTTGTCATTCAAAGGGTTCAAGACAAATTATAATCCATGGCTATAACCTCTCATGTATAGTAAATTTAATTGCATCTATCATAAGTTCACTGAATGCATAAGGAGAGGGAGTGTCCAATTTGTTCAAGGCAAAGACAGAAGAAAAAGGCAGCATCCTCTTGTCCCCTGTAGTCCTCAGCTAGCTAGCCCATTTCACATGTCACGTCAATCACTTTGCCAAGTTATACTCTTACTACATATTTGCCCTAAGAGTTTCTCGCAATATTTGCAATGTCATTATATATATATATATATATATATATATATATAAATACTTGCCCAGAAATTAATACTAACAAGTAATGATATTCTTCTGAATTGGAGAATTGGTAATAATTGATCACACCCACCATTGGTATTGCTACGTACTCCCTTTTTTTCTTCAGATGTTGCCATATCGATCGATCAATGAAGTTCTATATATCTTGAGTTGCTAAGATGAAAAAACTCCCAGGATGGGAGATTATGAATATTGGACGCACAGTAGCTGAACTGGAAGGAAGCTTGATGACAGTACCCGTGTTAGTCAGCTAATTCCAATTCAATTGTCTAAGGTTGGGGTCCTCACGTACAAGTGGAGATTGCATACCATTCTTCAATGTTGGCTTACGTTCAATATATGCCAAGCAATCACGTCTCCTTTTTTAGTAATGAATGAAAGTACTACCATCCCCACTTGTGTACACACAAACACACACACAAGTGGGGTGGTGCTTTCATGACATA